CTGAGCTTGGAGGGACTGAACCTTAGCCAGATTAGCCAGCTTGGAGGCCGGGACGTCAGCACTGCTCGTACGCTGACGAGCTTGAGGTGGGTAGGTTGGGCAGCTGAGGCCAAAGCATGCTGCCGTTTGCCACTACCAAGGGCGAGGAACTTTGAAGCCATCCCTGTAAAAAATCGAAGTTAGCGAGGAGGTCAAAAGCCCGAGCAGAAATTCGAAGCAGAGGTTACCTTCTGGAGCCTTGCGTTTCTTGGATTTACGTTACCGAGGTTTGGGTAGTTTCTTGTGCTCGTCCGGCTGGTTGTATAAGCTGAGACCGCTGAAGAAAAGATGGGAGTTTGAGACAAGAGCTTCGCCCCACAAAGCGTACCTCAGGTTCCAACCTTGGGCACGTTCGATGATCTCCCACGACTTACTGCTGATCCTCGGAATGGGAGATGGCAGAGCTGCATCATAAAACGACGTCAGAAGAAGAAGCGCGAGAAACTTGAAAGAACCTAATCTTTTACCTAAGACACTCACCTACGTCTCCGAACTCTACTGGGACGTGCAAATCGTCTCACCTTCTTCGTTTTTCACGAGCCAATTGCCGGAGACGAGGAACCAACACTCCTTCCAATTTTTGTTAGAAGAGGGATTCCTAATGAGCTGATCTATTTTCCTACGAGCTGAGAGGTAATACCTACCCTCCCCCTCGTTGGAGGCTTTGACTGTGTGGGTGGCTAGAAGCTAATCTACAGTCAGTCGATCCTAGTCCTCATCTTGGATGATCCACCACAGCACGTATGCCCCAAGCACGGTAGACCATCTGTTAGGAGAGAGCTGAGTTGGGGCGAGGTTGACCGCGCTAAGGAACATCTGGATGAATGGATGAAGAGGAAGTCTAACCCCCTTACTAAACATTTGGGGATAAAAGCTAACGAAGCCCGGAGGGGGGTCCTCAAGGTATTCGCCGACGTTTGGTACCCTGAGCTCTATAGAATCACGGATGAGGTACGTTTTACGAAGCTCGGCCAGTCTACCTACCGAGCAGGTCGAGGGAGGAAGCTCAACTACCGGGCTAGCAATAGGGTTTCCCGAGGTGGAAGCTACGTTAGGGTTTACCGAGCTCGGATCTACATTTGGATTTCCCGAGGTAGAAGCTAAGTTCGGGTCCCCTAGGACACTATCTGAACTCGAGGAGCTAGTTGACCCAGACGACGAATCACTCGACGAGCTACTCATGGTCAGAACTATTGAAGACACCTAAAAACTATCTAATGGAGGAGGGAGAAAATACCTGACTTAGGCAACGATCGAGGTACTCAAAAAACTCCGAAGTGAAATGGAAAGAACTCCACTTTTTATAGAGCAGTCCGGAGGCACGAAGACCGTCTGATCAAGAGAGAATCAACGGACAAGATTTATCCACGATGGGTGATCCCCGTGGCGACGTCTAGGTTCTCGAGACAGAAATTAGGGCTGACGACATTTGTGACGTCACGCATTAACACGTGGGTTTCGCTCATCCTCAGTTACCTTCTTTCGAGCTAGGCAATTCTGAGCTCAAACAAATAGGAAGATGGATCAAAGGGATGATGGTAGGGTTTTAGAAGATGGAGCTCTTAATGGAGGGTTTTGCAAAATCAATAACCAAAAAGAATAAGACAACGACAAGGTTTACTAATTTATGTTTGTTTGTCTAAAATTTGTTTGATAATTAATTTGTAATATATTATAATATTAAATAATTATATTTTGCCAAATAATCAATTTAGCCGTCACATTTAAGATTAGTCAACTAATGGTCAAAGGAGTTTTAGAGACCTTTTAGAATCATTTCTTAAAACTTCAAGACAAAAAATGTCCATTTTGAAACTTCAAGAACTAGATAGACACATATTCTAAAATTCAGGAAACAAAAGTATTCATTTTGAAACTCTAGGGACTAAATAGATATCTACTTCAAACTTCATGGACCAAAAGTATATTTTTCTCAAAAAGTATTTATCCCAAGAATTTATTAAATAATATTTATTCAATTAATAAATAAGTTTTTTTTAAGATAAAATTATATTTTTTGTTTTAGTTTTTTTTCTTTTTAAGAATTGATATGTAATCAGATCCTTAATCTTGAAACATTTTCTTACTACAAAATAAAATTATAGAATTATCCACGTGCATCACATGTGTTTACTATTATAATAATAAATATCTAGTTAATTTTTTTAATATAAAAAAATATTGTATTAAAAAGAAATAAGAGCACTAACGGTTACATAAGACGGTGACCACACACCACAATCAGAATTCGCGAAGGGAAATAATTATCCTCATTGACTGATGTCGGGGGAGAATCTTCAATTAACGAAGGAATTTTGTTAATTATGGCACCCTTATTTAGAATTGAAAGGGAAATAATTACCTCCAAAGTTGTCTTGTTCTCCAATATGACAAGGAAGAATTATGCAAATTCTCCAGATCATTCAGGCGAATCTCAATACAATAAAGACTAATAGTCTCGACAAATTCCAAAAATAGTATTCGAGTCGATCGTCGCCGCACATCCGTCGTTGCCCACCTTTTGCTCTGTCATCATTGCCTCTGGACCATGGTAGTTTTATGAACAATGATGCAACGAAGATGAAGACTCATCCCAATAAATCACAGGCGGTTGCCCTCTCCAATTTTGTGTCTGATAACTCTTCACAACGCGCTGATTTCTAAACAAGGATGCAACAAATATCTAGTTAATTGTTGCTACTATAACCAACGAAAAAATTGACAACCTAAGTATAATTCAACTGGTTTACACAGATTTCTAACCGAGACGTTGTGACTTCAAATCCCACCTGCACGTGTTGTACTAAAAAAACTAATGAAAAAAATTGATCCTAAAACCTTTTAAACCTTTTAGTTTCTCAAAATTTATGCGCGGTTGAAACTTTTAAAAATTCAAGGATTCAAAATTACCCATCAATACAAATTAAGGAACTAAAGGGGTAATTTTTCTAAAATAACCAATTGTATCAGTTTCGAAGCCTTGTTCCAAACTAAATTAAGAATTTTAAACCTTTTAAATTCATGAGTTATTTTTTTAACTAAAAAAACCAATCCATGAGACTGATAATATTTCTAAACTAAATATAAAAGAATTTTAAACCTGAATAATTGGATCGGAACTAAGAAGTACCTCAACCCAACCAAACTCAACCCATAAACACCTCTATTATTTTCAATTATAGTATTAAATTTTCATCTAATACATCAACATTTTCATATGTCCATAATTCAACATTGATATAAAGGATGAATCAATATTTCTATTATTAAGAAAAAATAACGACATATAAAAGAATATAAATGAAATATCACTAATACATAATAGTTAAATCTGATTTGTTAATTTAAATAACTTGTTCAAAATTTCTTAATTTTATGATTTTTCTGAAATATCCATTGAAACATCTATTTCGAAAACCATTAAGCTAATAATAAAATTTAAGTGCGTGTGAGAGAGGGAGCAAAGAAAGAAAAAAATATTCAAAAATAAAAATTAGAAATCGTGGAGAAGTGGGCGATAACCGTCGCAACCGCCACATAGCCTCACAAAATGTAATAAAAAACAGAGGAAAAAAGAGAGGGTTGGATCATAAATCTGCGAGAGAAACTTGTGCATTTGGAAGATGAAGTGAGAGAAATTGAGTGGAAAATCCAATGGAAGAGAGGGTTTCGGAGGAAGAAGTCATAAGAAAAGGGCCATGGAAACTGGAGGAAGACGAAGTTTTACTGAACCATGTGAAGCGATTCGGCCCCAGAGACTGGAGCTCCATTCGATCCAAAGGCCTTCTTCAGAGGACTGGCAAGTCCTGCCGTCTTCGTTGGGTCAACAAACTCAGACCCAACTTGAAAAAGTAAGTAATTCCTCCTCCATCGCCATTAATTGCCTTCCTGTTTTGTTTCGGCGTTTCTGAATTTGAACGTGTTTTTGAATGATTGAGGAGTTGCTGTTCGTTTTTTGTTGTTTGTTTTCCGCCCCTGTTGGTGGTTTGTCTTCGAGTCTGTTTGTGCCTGCAAACTGTTTGTGAAAATGCCTGAGAGAGTGTTTTCTTGACTATGCTGCTGTGAGTTTATGTGGTTCGGTTTTTCTGTTTTCCTCTCATCTCTGGCAAGTGGGTGCAAGTTCACGGCGGAGGAGGAGCGGGTGGTGATCGAATTGCAGGCGCGGTTCGGGAACAAATGGGCAAAGATAGCGACTTACTTGCCGGGCCGGACCGATAACGACGTGAAGAATTTTTGGAGTAGTAGGCAGAAGAGACTGGCTAGGCTTCTGCAGTCGTCAACTACTCCATCCAAATTGCAGAGAAGCACCAAAAAGGAAAAGCCAGTTGATTCCAATGCTCCCTCTATGGAGGTATTTCCTTGGCCTGAATCAATACTTTGTGACGTTTTGAAGTTGGTTTTAGTGTTCTCCAAACTTTGGGACTTGTAGTTTCGATTAAGATGCGAGCCGATGCTTCTAGATCTGTTTGAAAATTGGTCGAAATCGAGATGCTTGGTTCATGAGCGGCCCCTGTTTTCCCATGCCAGTTTGCTAACAATATTGTTTTTGTTCAAGTTGCTTTAGGATTATGGAGATTTGTTCCATTTCTATAAATGTTGTCTCCTACTTTTTAAAGGTACAGAAGCTGAGCTCTGCATCAGAGGGGGAGTCATCCTCGAGGCCGATGTCGTGCTCGTCGTCCTGCTGCGCGGAGAATGCTGCACCTGTTAATATATTCTGCCCGTGGCCTGATCCTTACAGTTCCAAATTCCTTGGTTTTGGCACAAACTTTCTTCAACCTGAATTCACCCCGTTTCAGACAATCAAATCCGAACCACAAACCGAGTTCTCTTCAACCCTACACACGCAGCCACTTGATGATGATTCAACTTTCTTGTCTCAAAGACTCCACGGTCCCGGTTTCTTCGATGATTTTCTCGAACCTTTGGATGTTTCTCCACTGGAAAATGAAGTTCAGTTTCCACTTGGGCAGCCGTTCTTCGAACCGATCGGATGCTGCCCGAGCCATGATGTTGAAAGGGAGAAAGTAGACAACCCAGAAAGTTTCTTCAGCGAGTTCCCTGCAGATATATTTGATCGTATCGAGCCACTTCCGAGCTCGCCGGAGAACTGATTCTTTGTCCCTTTCATTTCTCTGTAAAATGTTGGAAACTCTGATTTGCTCTCTGTGACTGTGAAATTCATATGTTATGTTGCCTAATCAATTGGTGAATGTGTTTTTTCTCTCTTTTGACTTGTAAAAGTGGAAAGTACATACATTGGTTTTTTTTTTAGTTGCAACAATTTTCAAAGTAGTTAAATCTAAAATTAAGATTTTTTTGTTTTTAATTATTAAAGTTGCTAAATTTCTCATATAAAGAAGCTGCCAACTTAACAAAATTGTGGGGGAAAATATCAAAATTTATCCCAACTTAGTTGGGTGTAGAAGAAGTTTTATAATTATATCATATTGGATGTTAAACTTAATAAAAGTTGCAATCTTTAGTTTAAATTTGCAAAAGTGTTCAGTCTCTACTTTAAAACTTGAATAAGTGAACAAATTGTACTTTTTTTGATTGGCTTAAGAATCGGTAAAAACATATATTCTCCTCTATTAAATGAATTATAAAATAGAGTTGTGCTTCTGATACAAAAATTAATGAGATTTGAAAGAAATACAAGTTCTTGGGAATTTATTCAATGATTAATTTTGAGTGTTATGCAAGCTTGACTTCTATCAAAATGAATGGGAGATGTTTTTTTTTCTCGTAGAATAGGTGGGGATGGATCAAATATAGGTATTTTAACCAGTTAAGTTATACTCAGGTTGCAAATGAGGATGAAGATTCAAATGACCTTTTGGTCGGAGGGTAAGAAGTATCTTAGTCTTTCTTTTTTTTTTTAGAATGAATACTTCATTAAATCAAAGTAAATCCTGATTGGTCCAATTAGGGATACAATCGTTCCAACTCTCCCTCTCCAAAGATCTAGCAACCCTCTTAGCAAGTGAATGTGTACAGTGATTAGCCTCTCTATTCACTTTCACAAAACACGTAACCCCACTACAATCCCTCAATTTTAGGATTTCCTCAACAACTCCTCCAACTTCCGTGAGATCTTCGCCCACCTCATTCAGCAAATTTGCAACAACCTCCGAATATGTCTCCACACATATTGGGAAGGACACGCCAAATTTCAGACAATGCATCCCCTCCAAAATCGCGTTTGCTTTGATTAAATTCATACTACTGCAAAAATCCACAAAACGATTACCGACTCGGATGACTTCTCTGTCCCAGTTGCGGAGCACCCACCCCAAACCGCCCCGTTGAAGAGATTCCGACCAAGAGGCGTCGGTATTGAGAGTCCAGGTATGAAGAGGAGGGGAAACCCATTTCGTTTTGACTTTGAATTTCCTATTCGATCTGCCCGATTGAGAATCTATCTGGATCTTGTTGATATGTTCTGAGATGGCCTTTCAAAACTTGCTGTATCAATGTGAGATAACTAGGTTGCTCGCTCCAGAAGACCATATTGTTTCTATGGTTCCAAATAATCCACGACCCGATCATAATCATCTCTAGCTCCTCGTCCTTAGCCTTATCAAGCATCCAATCCCAGTAGTCTTTACTCGATCAAGTCCTCCTGTCACAAGAAAACAGCCCCCCATCAAAATGCATATAATGATCCCAAAGCCGTTTTGATACCTTGCACTCCCAAAATAAGTGAGTCACGGTCTCTACATGATTCCTGGAAAAAACACAATTCGCATTAGTTTTAATTCCCTTAGCAACAAATTGGTTTTAAGGGGTAGAAGATCCTGCACTATTTTCCAACAAACTATCTTTATTTTACGGGTTATTCTTGTCTTCCAGAACCGCTTCCAACGCTCGGATTGCAAGTTTGAATTTGAAGAGGAAGCCGACAAGATTACTTCCCTTTGCAAACCCAACTGATAAGCAATTTTCACTGAGAAAAAACTTAAGAGAACATTACATTTTTCGTTACCTTAAATAGGAGGGTTCAGTAAGTGTTATAGGGTCGTTACTTCGTTAAACGTATCAGAAATTCGAGTCTTTACACGCTTCCAACTTTGCCAGTGAATTTTCCTATTCTCAGAGGTCGATCCCCACCAAAACTGGTTATAAATTTGATGTAGTTCATTACAAATTGTAACCGGCAACTTAAAACAGCTCAAGGTGTAGTTGGGGATAGCCTGAGCTACCGCCTTAATTAGAACCTCCTTGCCGCCCAACGAGAAGAGCTTCCCTTTCCCTTTCCATCCTTGAAGTTTCTTCCACACTCTTTCAACCAAGGAGCTGAATACTGCACACTGACTTCTGCTAATCTGCGATGGAAGGCCAAGATATTGTCCCAACTGCGATGAATACTAAATTCGACGCTCTTAATGACCTCAATCATATCGTGACTTGTGTTTCTACTTGTCATGAACAAGGACTTTTCCAGGTTTATTGTTTGCCCCGAAGCCTTCTCATAGAACTTTAACACCTCTTTAACAGTCTGACAGGCTTTTGGAGTTGCGCCAAAAAAAATTAAGTTGTCCTCTGCAAAAAAATAAATGCGTTATAGAGGGGCAATATTTATTAATACAAAAATCATACAAGTTGTTTTTCTCTTCTTCTCGTGCAAAAAGAGCAGAAAAATCTTCAGAACATAATAGAAAAAGATAAGGGGATAAGGGGTCTCCCTGACGAAGTCCTCTGCTAGGCTTGAACGAAGGGCCCGGGCTCCCATTGATAAGGACCGAAAAATTCACTGTTTCCACACAATTCATAATTAACTCAATCCACCTGGAGCTGAACCCCAGCTTGGCCATAACCAATCTCATATAACTCCACTCAACTCGGTCATAAGCTTTGGACGTATCAAGCATTAGCGCCACAACCCCTAACTTCCCCTTTGTTTTGCCTTGAAGGGAATGAATACACTCAAAACCTATAATGGCTTTATCGGATATTAACCTACCCGAGACAAAAGCCGATTGCATAGGGGAAATTAACTCATCCAAAACCCTCTTTAGCCTATTCGACAACACTTTCGAGATTATCTTGTAAATAACATTGCATAGACTTATAGGCCTGAAATCCGTCATTCTTGTCGACTCCTTCTTCTTTGGGATAAGAACAATGAACGTTTTGTTTAACCGACCCACATTCGCAGAACCATTAAGGATGTTAAGGCGGATGTTATAGTTTCCTCTCCCACAATATCCCAGTAGGTTTGGTAAAAGGAAGCTTGAACCCCGTCAGGACCTGGGGCTTTAGACGGCGACATTTCTTGAACCACCTTCCGCACCTCCTCCTCTGTGAAAACCTCGATGGCCACATGTTCTGCTCCTCCGAAAGCTTCGGCGAGATGGAGTCCAAAACTGGTCCCATATCTTGGGAACTAGGATTGCTCGACAAGAAGATCTGAGTGAAATAAGAATAGGCAATCATTTCAACATCTTCCTCCTGACTGCACCAATTGTCTGACTCATCATAGAACCCCCTTATTCTATTAGACTTCTTCCTTTGACTGGCTCTCAGATGAAACCATTTCGTATTCCTATCGCCCTTCAGTAGCCAGTCTCCCTGGATCGTTGTCTCCAATACATCTCGTCCTCCTCTATCAGCCTTTCTAGATCACGTTCAGCTTGCCAAAGACTATTTCTCCAATCGCTACCACTGTGACAGGACAACTTCAGAATCTCAGCCTCTTTTCTTGCTATTGTCACCCTAAGAGATCCGCCCAACCTCCTCTTATTCCAAACTAACAGTTCAACGAGACAAGAATTGATCTTTCTATGGAAATCTGACCCACTGCTATCCCTCTGCTCACTCCATACTCTTTTGATGATATCCTTACATTCTCCAAAAGAGAGCCAAATGTCCTCAAACCGACGAGGTCTACCCCCTTTCTTTTCTTCTCATTGATCACACCAACACCCAACCAGTCAGCTAAAATTGGCCTATGATCCGAAGCTAAGAAATCCAAGTGACGAATGTCCAACGAAGCCTGTATCTGAGACATCGCCACATTTATTAAAAAACAATTCAATCTCTCCCAAATGGGTTGGTCGAAGAGTGCCCATCGCACCAAGTGAAAACATCCCCAACGAACCCCAGATCCATAAGCCCACATAAATCCACAATGTCCTTAAAATCCTGCATTAGACTCTAACGCCTCGGAACCCCCCCAAGTTTCTCGGAATCATAAAGAATCTCATTAAAGTCTCCTCCTAAAATCCAAGGAAGATCAGAGATAATGTGAAGACGCCCAATAAGGTCCCACGTTTCCCGACGTTTCTCCTAACTCGGTTGTCTATATATACCTGAAAATCGCCAATTGTACCTATCTTCCTTAATCACCGCATCAATGTGTCCTTGTGAGAAAGACAGAATTCGAACATCCAACTCACTATGCCAAAGTAACATCAACCCCCACTACTGCCAACACTTGGAACACATAAACAACAATCAAAATTCAATTCTGCCTGAACCTTTTGATCATTTTGAAGTCTACATCTGGTTTCCATTAGAAAAACCAAATGGGGTTATGGCTACGCACTAGATGACGTAGCGCTCTCAATGTTCGGGGATTCCCCAACCCCCGAACATTCCAACTCAAGATTTTCATTGGGCTCGGCGGGACTGTCCAGCAGCCTCCACCGTTTGCTCAAGTTTTTGTTGTAGTCCTTCCCCACACACTTTCTTATGTGTTTCCGTATGTTCCCGGTCTAGCCCATGCTTCTTTCCAGACAGAGGTAGTTCAAATTCCTCCAATTGATGCTTGCTCCCCCCATTTCCTTAATCTTTTTTTCCATCTGGCTCTAAACCATCTTTGTTAATTTGTTCTTTACGTATTTGGCGCTTCCAAGTTTTTTGGATTTTGGCATGATTCAAATTTCCTGCTTCCACCTTTGATATCCCAGTTTCCATCTTAGCAGAATCATTCTGAATTCTTCCACAACCATCAGCCATCTCATTTCTCTTTCCTCCCAATATAATCTTTTCCTTCAATTCCTTTATTGACTCCAATCCCTCCTTTGGTCCCACCAAATCAGAATTTAATGCAGATTTACCTCTTTTTAGTCGTTCCGTCATTGAGGCATCGGGCGTTGAAATCTTTGAAAATTCTTTCCCTATTTGATTTTCCTTATTAATGCTCAATGTATGAGGCACCGTTGATTGATTCTTTTCCAAATTGTAATCCCGCCCATCTCCTACCGCCGCTGCCTGATCGG